TGCACTCATTACCTGACTTAGGTAACTGTAACCCCTCTATATATCACCTTTACGATAAAAAAAAATCTTCATCTCCGGTGCTTGCTTTGTCTGTCCTAGTCTAATGGAGTGTCCAGATAATGTCTCTTAACTGAGCCATGTAGGAGAGGGAGACTCTTGTAACCTCTGCCTGTTCTAGATGTTATCACAATAAGAGTTCTTTCTTTTCCTTTAAAAAACAGCTCTTCAGCTTAGTGAGTAAGAGTGCTAAGTTATACTATATTCTGCTGCCCAGAAACTTTGCTTTTCCTAAGAAATTGGCATTAGAAAGAAAGTAACTTTGTTTCTTCTTTATCTTAGATATAATGAAGGTGTGTACTGGCCCTGAAACTGGCTACTTTGTGTGTAATTTTAAGTTTGTATTCCTCTGCAAAGTCATTCCGAGGTAATCTCTTTATATATATTCTGAAAATGTGCAGTCTGCTGATCTTTATATCCCGAAAATGTGCGGTCTGTGACTGGTATTTATAAACACTTCAAAGAGCACCTCTCACTGCCAGATTCAGTAAGCAATGTAGAAACATTATTGGAGTTGGTTTTTTTTTTAATGAAATACAACTTGATTTTTAAAAATCTTTCTCTTATTTAAGAATACTAGTATCCTATTTCCTCATTTATTACATACACATATAATTATTTAATTTTATTTGGTGCTGGTTCTGGGGCTTGAACTCTGGGTCTTGGCACTATACCTGAGCTTCTTTTTTGCTGAAGCCTTCCACTCGACCACTTGAGCCATAGTTCCACTTCAGGCTTTTTTTTAGTAGTTTATTGGAGATAAGAGTCTCATCGACTTTTCTCCTCCAGCTAGCTTCAAATCATTATCCTCAGTTCTCAGCCTTGTGAATAGTAGAATTACAGGTCTGAACCACCCGTGCCCAGCAACATATACATATAATATCTAAATATATATTTGCATATGTATGAGACTTACAGGTGAGAGTTTACATTTTGTGATTTCAGGAATTCTCATCATTGTGGCATTGTGGTCGTGAAGAAAATGGTCACATTGGAAGAAGTGATTTTTCAATTCCCAAGATGATATTATTCTTAAATGGTCTCACATTGTGTGCTTGAACTCTGAGAAATGTTATTAAGAAGTTCTAGATTTTAACTTATCATTTACTCTTTGTCCAGATATGACAAAAATTAATTTATCTCTGTGGACTTGAAGACTCATTAGGATACCCAAAAGCATTTGAATGTCACCAAGTATATTTTTCACATTTTTTTTAAAACTAGGCAATTGTTAAGAGCATGATATAACAGAAGAATGATATGCTGATCATTTGTTGACAGCCCCAGTTCATTTGTCCATTGGACACAGATCTTACTAGTAACCTGATTGGCATCAGGTATTAGTCTAATATGGACTGTCCTTTGTGTTTGAACTTTTTAAATTAGCATACATTAGGAAGGATTCATTATAACATTTCCGCACATGGGTACAATATATTCCAGTCACTCATACCCCATCACTCTCTTGCTAACATTTCCCACTTGCTACTCCTTTTCATTTTTGCCAGTCCTAAGGCTTGCACTCAGGGCCTGGGTACTGTCCATGACCTTTTTTTTTTTTGTTCAAAGCTAGCACTCTACCACTTGAGCCATAGCTCCACTTCTGGCTTTTTGCTGGTTAATTCGAGATAAGACTCTCATGAAATTTCCTGCCTGGGCTCGCTTTGAACCTCTATCCTCAGATCTCAGCCTCCTGAGTAGCTAGGATTACAGGTGTGAGCCACCAGTGTCCAGCTCCTCTTTTTTCGTCTCAGAAACAGTTGTGACAGGTTCCAATATTTTGTTTTCATACATATAAACAAAGTACTTCAACCATATTCCTTCTCTTTCACCTGCATTAACATAGACTTTTAGAAATGATTTTTTTTTTTGGTTAGTCAGGGCCTGGGCACAGTCCCTGAGTTCTTTTGCTCAAGGCTAGCGCCCTACCAGTTTGAGCCACAGCTCCACTTCTGGTTTTCTAGAGGTAAGAGTCTTTTATACCCAAGCTGGCTTCACACTGTGATCCTCTGATCTCAGCCTCCTGAGTAGCTAGGATTGTAGGCATGAGCTACCAGCGCCAGGCTTAGAAATGATTTTCTGTAAGTTATTCTGGGTTTGAGATTAATTACAATGTTGTACTTGACACTTTTGTTTAAGAAAGTAATTACCTTAATTGAAAAGTTCTAAACTCTTGTGTGGACACAATTTAGCAAGAGGCCTCCATAGAGATATGGCACTGAATTTCAAAAGGGGAAAGGGAGAAGGATGAAGGGATTGATTCTGATGAAGATGCACTGTACAGATAAGTGGACATTTATCTGCACCTTTCTGCAACCATTTGATGAGTATATAAAAAAAACCTTAGGCTATGAGCAGAGAGAACTCTTTTGCAGCAAGTGATTTCACACACATTGTGATAGGATCACATTTGCATTTTTCAAAGATCCACCTGCTCCCCCCTAGCAGGATGACAGTGGGTAGAAATAGGTGAGAGCAGGCAGAGTGGGCCATAGCTAATAACCCCTTATTAACTATGTATAAGTGTATAAGTGTAGCTTGGGTTAGGGTGATGGAAACAGAGATAGAAAAATGGAGAGGCTTGAATGATGTATACAATAGTGGTTGAGGGATGAGAAGGGTCCTGAACTGCTTTGGTTTTGGGTGTATAGAGCGTGTTACACAGTGGGGCCCATTTTAAGTGTCTGTGAACAGTTGTTTGCTTATAGGAACCAGAACCCAAAGGAGTGATCAGAGCTAGAAGATGGGAATTAATTAGAATGAGATTCCCTAAGGAAAACATTTAGACTGAGTAGAGGCAGAGTACGGAAGGAAGGGGAATTTCACAGAAAGGTATTTAAAGGGATGGGATAAATCTAGCCATGGCCTAGCATTCTTCTTCCTCTTACCACATGCAGTGTAAACAACACATTTTCACAGAACGTGTGACTTAAACCCACACTAATGAAATGTTATTAAATGACAAAGCTTTATGACAAAGAATGTAACATTTCTAGTTGACGCCTTTTGTCCTACATCTTAGACCTGTTTGTAATATAGTTGGGGGTCTTAATTTGTCTTACAAAAGATTATATATTTTTGGGTAAGTTCCATAAAGCCTGTAATATCCAAGAACTACTGGCAATCTTTGGTTCTCTTGTTTATATTTTCTCAGCTGCTCTGTCACATATGGTTTCTCAGACATCACATGTTTAATTGACTGCAGCCTTCCTGGAATCTGCTTTCTCTCCAGTCTTTACATGCTGCAGCGAACACAGAGCAAGTTAATTCTCACTCTTCCCTGTCACCCTCAGCCTCCTACAAACACATGTGAAGTCTACTTTTCCAATGTCCACCACTCTCTCTGTCCTCATTGCCTCCCCCATGGTCTGGCTGGCACCACCATGCTACAATCCCCTCCTTTCCCTAGCTTCCTTCTTACTGGCCTCTTTCTGAGCTATTCTCCTCACAGCTCACTTAGGTATTATCTTCAGGAAACTAGATTGCTTTACTCCTTGCTCCAAACTCGTATATGACTCCTGCACCCTTGTATATAAGTAAAATGCAGAACTTTGATCTTGGTTAAGTCCAGCATACAAGGAAACCAGTCACCATGCCAAATTCCATCTTCCCCAGTGCTGTTCTTTCCCTGACCACTCCGTCCCAACAACTCACCTGCTTAGCTGATTGTCCCCTCCTGTCTGCTTAGCTGATAGGCCGCTTGCATGTTGAGCTTCCATGCGGACATGCTACTCCCTCTTGGTCGACCCAGGAAGGAGCAGCTGGTTGGCCTAAAGCTGACATGACTGAATTCACATGACAACTCCTTTCAGAACTGTGATACTCACCTGGCTAAAAATTTTGGACAAGAGTTGCGGCATCCACAAACCTGTACAAAGTTTGGGGGTTGGAGCTCCTTTTCACCTGTCATTGTGAAGCCTTTGGCTCAGCCCAGCAGGGGTTCTTGAGGGTTCCTGGGCAGCAGCACACAGGTGCGCAGGCCTGGCTTCCTCTCAGGCACGGGTCATCACGGAGCACCCGGAGTGTGGAGCCCAACGCCACAGAAACGCAGCTCCACATCCCAGGGCTCCCGCGCTCCCGCTGCGCCAGTCTCTACCCCACTGGTCCGTGCAGAATAGGACACAACAGAATATTTATTTGTAAGTCACCAGCACAAAGCATGCCTAAAAGTGACAGAGAACTGTCTGCTTTCCATCTCTATTCAGGATGAAATTGACCAAACTACCAAGGTTTAAACTGTTCTACCTTAACTTAAAAAAACTAGGTCATAGGATGTATATAAACTTTGGAAAAGAAAAATGGAAGGACACACTGATCAGAATTTCTTGATGGTTGTGCTTGTAAAAGTAAGAGAAAAAAATGATTCTGTGACTGAGGCAAAGATAAATGTTATAGAGAATACAGTTTCCTTTATTTTTTATTTGATCTTTTTATTCTCTCTGAAGATATAGTCTCAAAAAATGTGGAAGACTTCAAAAGCAGAATAGAAGCAACTCATGTTGACACCTAGAGACCTTTCAGCTGTTGTTTACCCAGCCAGTTTTTTTTTTAAACCCCTGGATAGCAAAATATGAACTGGAATTGTGAGGCAGCCTTCCAGATTTAAGACCTCAAGTAAAATCTTAGGTCAGAGTGATTCCACAATAGATAGAATTAGTCTGGCATGTGAAGAAAAAAGGGAGTAAGTTCCTATTTCATATCTGTGGACAAATTTTAATGGTGTCTTAAGTTTTGGGTGGAAAAGTTGTTGGGGTTGTTATTACAAAGAAGCTTTTGTACTGTAGTGGAATAATCCTCGCAAGTGTATGAAGCGCTCTCCTGATCCCTACAGAGGCAATGATATGTTTTATCTCCATAAGGAATTTCTCAAAAGCACCCAGCTATAAAAATAATTGTTTGCTTTTATTTATAAACTTTGTCCAATCCTCTTTTTCTCCCCCTAGGATTATGACAGCTTTTTTGAATCAAAGGAAAGCAACACGGTCTTTTCATTCCTAGGTCTGAAACCACGGTTGGCATCAAAGGTAAGTTAGTTATTTTTTATTCTTTGGAGGTCATCTTTCTTGAATTGTCCTAGGGATTAAGGTCAAAGGGATGCATATAGAGTCTCCCTAAGCTTTTAGTGCATTAATTATAGACTGTTCAATGTTAACACAAAGAAGCCTCGTTCTCTTTCTAATGTTCAGTTGTTGCCACGAATTAGAGTATTAGTTTGTAACTTACACCCCATTCTTTCAAGAAGAATAATTCTATTCTACCTATTAAAATAGGTGACAATTTCTATTTTAAATTGTTAGTTTATATTACAGCTTTGATTCATCCTATCACAGATGGAAAATATTTTTTAAAAAGTACATCTGTATAAACACCTGCAGATTCTATTTCTCATTATATCTTAGTACAATATGACATCTATTTATATAGCATTTAAATTGTGCTAGGTTTCATAAGTAATCTAGAGATGATTGGAAGCATATGTGTGCATACATCATGTGCAACTATGGCGTATTGTTTAAAAGACCTGAGCATCTGCCTCCCCAAGAAGGTCCAGAGCCATCCCCCACACACACCAGAGAGGACTGCACTGCAGAATTTTGAAAAACATTATATGAAAGAACTTTTGTAGGTTGAACTTTATATTGGAGAAATGATGGTCTACAAAAACAAACTTGGGCGGGAGGAAATGCTGCAGTTCCTTAGCCAATCACAGTACCTTTTAGCCTGCTTTCGTAAATCATGTCTTTTGGAAAACATAAAGGACCTAATAAGTTTGTCTCATATTTAGACTTAAATATGGTGTGGGTTTCATTTTATCAAGTACATGGATCCACTTTCAAAATTAAAAAAAAATTAAAAAGTTTATTAAGTAAGGTAACATTTTGATTATTTCATTTTTTAAATGTACACTATTTTATTTCTTCTTATGAAAGTAGCCTAGACTTATCTAGAAAACCTGGGGAAAAATAGAAACTGTAAAGTAGAACATGGAAAGCAAGGCCCAGAGCTCACCATATGGACATTTTTGGGGAATGTCTTTGCAGTCTTTCTGTACGTAGTAATTGTGAGGTTTTGGCAGTTTTTCAAGTTGAAGTCCTGAGTGTCTACGTGTAACTCAGTGGAAGCGGCATGCACCCCTGGGGGCGTGGCTGTCATGAGTACGAGGTCTCCGGAGCCTCTCAGAACAGGGACTGTCCCGGCTCAGCTGGGGGAGGATAGAATCACAAAGCAGCCCCCACCACACTGAGCCCTGCCATCCCTGCCATCCACATCAAGAAAAGTCCACAGATGGTGGTGGGTGGTTTCTTTGTGCATGTTTTAAGCAGAGGCAAAACCCACACAGAAAGTATTTACAGGTTCTTCAAGCTATTTTTATAAAGACGGAACATTTGAATACTCGTTGGAAAAATTAGGGTATTTGTATAACCTATTTCATCTAAAGAAATTACCCAATCAGATCTCTGTCATCAAAGGACTGAAAAAAGAAAAGAAAACTGGGGTAAGTGGTGGCTTAATGAATGCAAAACCCCAGTAGGCCTCTCACTGTTTGTGCAAAAACCTTTTTAAAAACACTGTGTGTGTGTGGTCTCATTGTTCCTTTGGGCGCTTTCCCCTCATCCCCCACATTCCTTGGGGACTCCACAGGCTGACATTTTTATTCTTTTCACAATCTATTCTCTCCAAAATATGTAGACATCTGGGATGAACACAGTATGCATTCGGATGCGGCCTATGGTGGTGGTATTAGAGTTGATCTTGGTTCTGTGGCCTTGGCTTGATGTTAGAAGTCCAATCCAAGGGCAGCGAGGGCCTTGGATTACCTGGAGCAGCAGCACAGCAATGGTGGCCACCCGGGGTCTGCGCTCGCGCTCTCCATCCATTCGGGGGTCATCTTCATAGGAGAGAACTGAAAATGTTACCAAGCAGTTGAGCACCTCCCCTTCCTAGCCACTGGTTTTTCACTTTGGTAGTAATTCAGTATACCATCTACAGTTTGAGACTTGCATGGAATGTTCACAGATTTAGTGTGCTGAAAGATGAGACCAGTTGCTTGCTTTTTGTTTGTGTGTTGGTTGTTGGGCTTGAACTCAGGGCTTAGGCACATTGTCCTAGAGCCTTTTTGCTCAAGGCTAGCACTCTGCCACTGAGCCACAGGACCATTTCCAGTTTTCTGATGGTTAATTGGAGAAAAGAGTCTTATGACTTTCCTGTCCAGGGCTGGCTTCAAACCATCATCCTCAGACCGTAGCCTCCTGAGAAGCTAGGATGACATTATGAGTCACTGGTGCCCAGCCCACTGATTTCTTATCTCCTTTCCTATTCCTGCTGCACTGTACACACATAACAGACAAGGCTGGACAGCCAACCAGGAAATACAGAGGGACACATTTGCATTTGTGATTGCCCCCCTCCTGACTGAAGAACCCCACTGGCATGGGGCATGCTGGAATCTGGACCATCCTCAAAATACACAGAAAAGGGAAGATCAGACCACCACATGGTGGTCTGCAGAGCACACTGGCTCTGGACATGTTGCTTGTCCCAAACTTGTGAAAGTAGAAATTATATAGGTTGCTAATATTTAAAATAGGTTTCCCCCTTCTCTTGAGTTGAAAGGTGGGTGGAGGAGCATTTCCCCTGGGAAGCATGTAGAGCTGGTCGTGGCTGGCCACTGTGGTGCCTGCCTAACCCTGAGCAAAGGAAGCCTGCTTGCCCAGCATTTTCAGGCAGAAATCTCACTTTGGTTACATTAATAGGCTGCAGGTGAGCCCACTGGGTAGGTTTCTCTACTTCTGGGTCTCTGCCAGGGACAGCTGGCACACACTGCACACTGACCAGCCAGCGCAGGTACAAAGGCCTCTGGTGCCAGGTAGGTCATGGTGGAAGGGCAGAGTGGCAGTCGGGAGATCACCTGTGCTATTTGTAACAGGGAACACTCCAGTGTTGCCCTTTGCTGCTCGCTGGGGAACCAGCAGATGGGTGAAAGCATGTAGGCCTTCCACTGGTGTATGTTTGGAACATTGGGTGATTTTGATTTAAATCTGGCTGTGATCCTGAAACCCAGGATTTGCCCTGATCCATCACATAGGACTGACTTTATTACAGTTTCAACAATCTCTATTCTTGACATTTCGGAGGGAAAAAAGAAAAGAAAAAACAAAAAGCATTGCCAAGGGCAAATTTTCTCATCAATGCCATGCAGTAACTGGTGTTTTTTTTTTTTTTCTTCTTCTTCTCCTCTTCTAATAGGCAGAACCTTAGCAAAGATAAACAGAAAGTGATGGAGATGCATTTGGAGCGCCCCCTGGTACTCAGCACACACCTGCTCACTAATGCATCACTACGACAAAGCCACATCTTCACCAGTAACCTTGCTTGCCACGGGAAAGGTGTTTTTTGAGGATGTGGGAAAATGGGGATTGCATGATTGCTTTAAACCAAATCAGGACTATGGTGGATTGTGTTTTTCCTAGTTTCAGATTTGCCTAGAGTCTCACTGAGCTGAGTGGACTGTCACCTGTTACAGGGATGCATCTGTCATGACTGTCACCAGCGGAGATGCACTGTTGGATCTGCCTTAGGTTGTAGGAGATACCAGTGCTGCATAAACCTGCTTCCTCTTTCAGCTGCCTACACTGTACCTCAAAATCAGTCTGCCAGGCTGCTAGAATGTTGGAATCAGAAGGAAGGAAAAAGAGCAATGCTAATTGACATAGGGTGTTAACGATTTTTGCTGTAGAATCACAAATGTCACTACTCTAGTGCTTTGAATAACACGTGCTGAAAAGTTAGGTGTTTTAGATTGCTTTTATAATAGAAGCCCTTGCCCACCCCCCCCCTCCAAATCCTCTGAAGCTTCTATAGATGTTTCTAGAAATCACTGTTGCAATATTGTGTGATTGCAACCAAGTTACAGGGCTGAGAATAATGGCTATTTGGGAAAATGTGCTTTTCCTCTTGTGTGGGGGGAAAATTCACCTAAATGTATAAGACTGCTTGAAAGACATATTCTAAGAGGTGCACTAATTACATAGTAAATTTATAGGTATAATTGTCTGACTAGTATCTGAAGGCCTTCTCAGCTCTAGCAATTTATTTGTATGTAAATTCACATAGATTTTTAAATGCAGCTTCCTTAACAGCTGTTTATTCTATTTTGTGAAGGAATTATATTTTTTTGAGAGAAGAAAATCTCAGTCAGGTATATTTTGTGAATCCTTAATGAAGCATATTAAGAACTATCTGTACTTCTGAGTCTGTGGCACAGTTGGTAGAGTGCTAGCCTAGCATACCTGAGTCCCTGGGTTCAAGCTACAGTATCACATACATACTGCTGTATAATTTATTTTTTTCAGTGTTAATGTTTCAGTGTTTCCTAACATTCTTTTTTCTTCTATGTGGCCAGTGCACAATCTCAGTCTTTGTTCAGAGTACGATAGCACACATTTTCATTCCATGTATGAGCACAAGTGAAATTTCAGAGCAGTGTGGACAAGAAAGGGCTGTTTAGAGTACTCTGAATTGTACTTGGTGCGAAAAATTTCTGCTCATCTTGGAGTGGTTCTGACAAACACTGACCCTGTCTACTTCTTTAGGGCAGAGACTGATTTTTTTTTGTATCCTTATAAACATGTTTACTTGCAAACATAGGAACCACCTTGATTAGGTCAAACTGAGAACTGAATGAACTACTTATTTCCAGCGTCCTCATTGCTATACCTCTCACCATGATTCTGCAAAAGAAATGTATAACTTCTTGAATTCTAAAGCTAAAATCCTAGGCCCAGGGTTGACAGCCCAGGACAGAGGAAGAGTGTGACGTATTTCTTCTTGGCTGGAACAGACTCATGATCCACAGTTTTCTTTCTCTCAGGGGAAAGCTTGTCAGGTCATGGCTGGCTCTGAGGGATCCGGATCCATTGATATCAAGTGAGATCCAAGTCAAATTCCATTTGATAAACCCCCAGGAACCATCTAGGAATGTTTTGGGGTATTTGTATGTGAGTCTTCTGGTAAGACCTGAAATTGGTTTTCTAAGATACAGCAATTTGAAGACTAACCATGTTATAATTACTCAGTGTACAGTGAGTGTCATTCAGCATGGTGAGGTGGAGGCCTTTGCAAGTTCTGATTCGTGAGGTCAGTATTGGGCTTGCAAAGAAAGAGAGAACTACCTGTATTTGTTGTAACCATAATATACCTAGCATAATGGCATTACACCTACCAGATGGATAGCAGTGCTAAATTACCACCACAGCTGGATGACATTTTCTTGCCATGGTTTTTAGGAGATGGGGGTGTCAGCAAACAAACACAAAAGACAAACCTCAGGTGGCATTGTCCTTGTCACAGTAGGCTAGAAGCACAGGGTGTGGCCTTTACCATGACACCCGGCTCTACCAAGAACACAAGCACAGTCCTCCGACCATGCTGTGTTCAGTCGTTCTGGGTCCTTCCTTGTACTGTTAGCAGCTGCGTTCCAAGCAGGAGGCAATGGTCTGATTCTGTTCAATCAGCTGTCTTGAGGGGTTCATCATCACACTTGTTAGAATCTAGGAAGAAGGTGGATTCGCAGGCACAGATGATGTAATATCAAGGATATTTCAAGGCAGAACTTTAATTTCCTGTAATAGGCTTGTTGGGACAAAAAAAAAGTTTGTTGTCATTTTGAAATTAGGTAAAATGTGAAGTGCCACACTGCCAGGTGGATGCTGACCAGAAAAAATTCATTTCAAGAAATACTTGTTTTTTCCAAACACCAGGGTTTTGGTTAAAATCAAAATGGAGAAAAGGAAGATGATACTTGTCCTCAGACTCTAGTATATTTTGGATTTACTTCTGATTTGATTGATTTGATTCAACATTCACATATTGATGTTTTTACATTACATTAACTTGATAATGAACTAAATAGTTCTGGGTTTTGTTACTGAAAGGTACCAAAGGCTCATTCTGGATTTTTTGTTTTATTTTTAAATTTTGTTTTGCTTTCATTGCCTTTATTGTAGGATTTCGCCTTTTGTAAAAATTGGGCATTTACTTTGTAGTTTTTCTTAAGTGTCAGGGTCCACTTCAATCTGTGTCATTGTTGTTTTTAGAGTTTAGTTCTCTATATTTGTCTCTACAAGCATTGTCTCAGATTTCGTAATCAGAATTTAAAGAGAATAAATGGCAGAAAACATGCATTCAGAAAATGGAGTTTTTATCTCCTCCCGTGTCTCACACGTTTTCTAGTTTTAGTTCTGCATTTGCGCAAGTCTTTCCTGTGGAGTTGGAAGCTGTCTTTCCGTGCAAGAAGTGCAGACACACAGCTCAGGTTCCTTCGGCGAGATGCATCCATCTGAGGTGCCCTGGGCTTGGTCCGTAGTTCCACCTCTGTGCTTTGCCCAGAACACAGAGTCCTCTTACACAGCAACCAGGCCCGAGATGGCCACCTGCTCAGCCACTGGCTCGGCTCTGGTGTACTTCACGGGCTCCTGAGCACACTTCAGCCGTGGATCTGCTTCCCTACCCCTCACAGAGAACAGACAAGGTGGCCACCACTACATACACCAAGGATCCTATTGAGACAGTCACTTCTGAACACAGAAGAAAACACTTCCAAAGGCAGTGTGTGAGGCCAGTCTCCTTGCTGAACTCCTCCAGATGTTAACCACCAGGAGGGAGGCATGGTGGGGGGAGGGATGAAGGGAGCAAGCTGTAAGTTTGCAGGAATGTGCTCAGTCATGAAACCAGATTAGCAGATGAGCCCTGCCTGCCTGCGACCCAGATAGCCAGAGCTTTCCTAGTTCTGTCAGCCTTTGTCAACATGCATTGTCCTTTAGCGTGCAGCCTGGCCTGTCTGAACAGCACAGTCTCCACCCGCAGGGATGAGGGGCAGCAGTGGTAGCCAGTGGTAAGTGACAGAGCTGAGGTAAGCTCTCAGCACTCTAGACAACAGGCCCTTCTCTGAATTAGTACATGTAATGTAGTCTTTTCTTCGTTAAAATCATCCCAAGTTTCAAATGTTTATACATGCAAGGAAATACATATATATGCATTTGCACACATCTAATATAAATATATATATACTAAAGTATGAAGAGTAATAATGACAACAATAATAATAGACCCCTGTGTGCCTGACTCCCACCTGATTGCCTTTCCTGATTGCTCCTTCCTGAACCTGCTTCCCTGCCCCACATTCCTAGCAATCACAGACTTCCTCCTCTTTCTCTTTTTTGCCTCCATGTATGTGTCCTTCAAGAATAATAAATGGAATTAAATCAGATACGTTCTTCTGTCACTTCCTTTGTCTGTTCATCGCAATGGGAGCTTTCACTGGTAAATATTATTCCACTGTGACTATGTCACCGTTTTTCCTTCTGCAGTTGTTGATAACTGAATCGAATCTTTGTTGGGCGGAGAAAGGGCAGTTTAGCCTGTGGCTTCTGCTACGCACACACAGCTACGGGTGTGCACCAAGTTGGGCAGGGAGAGCACACTCAGCTTTGATGGAGAAGATCACGCTGCTTTCCAGCATGAGACCACATGTGTTTCCACCAGTATACTAGAATTTTCAGGACACCAGATCCCGGCCAGCCTTTGGGATTGTCAGAACCAAATTTCTGCCAAGCTAGGGAGTGACAGGCCGCTTTCATTGGCTTCTTTGGCATATTGTTTTAGTAGAAATAAATTGAACATGTTTAATTATGGGATTTCTGTCTCATTCATTGTGTCTTACCATTTTTTTCTGTTGGGATTATGTGATTATTAACTTTTAAAATTTCTTTGTACTTATATTTCATTGGTTAGTACCTGATTTGACTTTTTTTTTTCTTTTTGTGGTGCTGGAGACCAAGACCAGGGCTTTGCACCTGCTAGGCAGTGCTCCTCTCTGGGCTACTCCCCCCAACCCTGCAATGATTTGACTGTTAAAATGAGGAGAGCCTGGCATTGGTGGCTCACACCTATAACCCTAGCTACTCAGGAGACTGAGCTCTGAGGATGATGGTTCAAAGCCAGCCTGGGAAGAAAAGTTCATGAGACTTATTTCTAACCAGCAAAGAGCCAAAAGGAGCTGTGGGTCAGGTGGTAGAGCACCAGCCTTTCAAAGCCAAGAGACAGCACCCAGGCCCTGAGTTCAAGCCCCTTACTGGCAAACACAAAAAAGAAACCAGATTAAGAATATAAAAACCTCTGAAGTTATTTCCATGAGCCTTTACCCAGCCTGGAGAAAACACGTGCATATATCATCTATTTCAAATGCCTTTATATACTTTATATGTTAAGTATATATTATGTTATATAGTTTCTTCTTTTTTGTGCCTGTCCTACGACTTGAACTCAAGACCTGGGTGCTGTCCCTGAGCTTTTTTTCCTCAAGGCTAACACTCTACCACTTGAGCCACTTCTGGGTTTTTTGCTTGTTTGTTTTTGAGTAGTAAATTGGCAATAAGAGGAGATCTTCAGATCTCCTCCTACTGAGTAACCAGGATTACAGGCATGAGCCACCAGTGCCCGGCCTTATGTGATATAGTTTCTTATGTGCTGATACTTAGTTTGTCAGCATATCATCCAAGAGATGGCGGAGTTTGAGAACCTATCTGCTCTTTTAGGAAGCTATCTTAAGACTAATTAGTACCAGTTATTTGGAAGGAAATGATTACCATTAATATTATGATTTGGTTTTCTGTTACAAGGAAATCTTTATATGGACTTTCTGTGCATATGTGTGCATTTTTTCAGTCTATCAAAATATGTGGAAGTAAAAAGTGATATAACAGGCCTATAACAACAGGTTATGCAGAGAACATTCTGGATGTGACAGGAAATTGTAGTGGACATCTTTGCCTGATGAACCCCAAGGCTGAGGGCAGTGGATGTGTGGGTGCTGCCACCCACAGTACTGTGACAGCATGTTCACCTGTGCGCGCTGGCCAGATGTTAGCACAGGTACCCAGACTTAGCAACTAAGACATTTCTAACAGACTGAGGACATGGGTATTAACTAAAAACTTGATAGTGTATAGAGAAATCATTTAGACCTTTAAATAAAAAAGATTGCACTGTGGCAGTTCATAACAGTTTGGGCCCTGCAAAAATAAATGTCACTATCATCAAACTTTTCACTAAAATTGTTACAGGCGGCCCAAGGCCACCTGGCTACTCAGGAGGCTGAGATCTGAGGATCGTGGTTTGAAGCCAACTGGACAAGAAAAGTCCTTGAAACTCTTATCTCTAATTAACCACATAAAGCTGGAAGTGGAGCTGTGGCTCAAGTGCTAGAGCACTAGCTTTCGAGCAAAAAGAGCTTCAGGGACAGTGTCTAGGCCCCAAGTTCAAGCCCCAGGATTGGCACACACACACACACACACAATCTCTAGTAAAAACATCTATCCAGGCTTACAAGAACAAAAGCTCTAATAGAACAGTGCTGCCCAGTTTGGTACCAACAAACCTCATAGCGCTTGAAATGTGCCCAGGTGAATTTGTGATGTGTTGGAAGGATAAATACATCCCAGGTATTTCAGAATTCATGTGAAAAAAAGAATGGGAAATGTCTCATTAATTACTTGGATATTGATGACATTGAAGTGATCATGTCTTTTGAATATACTGAGTTACGTGTTAACATTTTCACTTTTTTCTTAGCTGTAGCCACTAGAAAAAATTTAATTACATGTGTGTCTTACTATATGCACATATACTACATACATGCATATCTTTTTTCTAGTGCAGGTCCTTGGGCTTGAATTCAGGGCCTGAATGCAGTCACTTAGCTTTTACTTAAGGTTGGTGCTCTACCACTTGAGCCACACCCCCGCTTATGGCTCTTTTGGTGGTTAATTGGTGATAAGAATCTCATGGACTTTCCTGCCCAGGTTGGCTTTAATCCACAATCCTCAGATCTCAGCCTCCTGAGTAGCGCAGATTACAGGTATGAACCATGGTACCTATAGCTTGGGCTTGGTTTGTATTTTTACTGAACAGGAGGGTCCTGTACCAACATATGGAATTGATAGTAGAAAACATATGTCTTTAAAATGTTTCTTAGATTCTGACAAAATTTCTCCTTTGTAATACAGAAAGGAAGTGTGACCATCTTTGGAAACAAAGTTTTCTGATCATGCTACCAAAATGGATGATTTTTCTCATCTTGCTTTTTGCCTTTCTAGCTTGAAGCATTTTTTTTTTGTAGAGAAATAAAAGGCTCTTTTTTTCTGGAGAAACAGAATCGAAAGGGTAATATAGGTTGTCATCCTATGTGACATCAGGTGTCTATCATCGTATAAGGCTAACTCCTGTTCAATTGGCCCATATATCTGGGAATTAAGTCCTAGTAGTTTTTAATTTTTTTTCTTAAAAAGAGAATTAATGAGCCACACAGATAGTCTTTAATCTGCAGGAGTATAATGAATATTAATGAGATTTACTCCTAGATTTCTCTGTAAAATTCATTTGAGCTCATGAGAAAATATGAATAATCTGCCCTCTCAAATAGCTTCTTCCTGGTCTTATTGCCAAAGATTACAGCGTGTTGTGTTGTTGGAGAGTTCTTCCTTTCCTTGGCCAGAATTTTTATCTGTTTTGCTATTCTTTTGGAATAATAATGTAGAAAGAAACCTCACATTCTTTTTCTCAGTAATATCATCTGACAGTAACAATATTTATTAAGAGAAGTTTTGGGGGCATTATTTTGTTTGTAGCTCTTCTCTGAAACAAGAGTGAGAAAAGCACAGCGCTTTCCATCCCTCTGCATGTCCCGTAGCTGCTCATTGTGCTGCTTTGGGTGCTCGATTTGTTGCTCTAATGAATTACACACCCAGCTCTCGAGGTGGGGTAGGACCACCTGTCCAAACTGAATATAATGATACTCTTCATGCTAACATGATTTGGTTGCTTACTAGCCCATTTGTTTTTGTTCTCATTTTTTTCCCTCCCTGCCCATCTGTGTGTTGTCACTTACTAATGAAATCCCTAGGTTGACGTGGAGATCGGGGGTCTGGGAGAGCCCAGAGGGACTCAGTGGCTGGCTCCCAGAACAGAGCTGGTCAGAATGCTACTGATTCTATCACCCTAGCTCAGATTCTCCCTTTCCTTTCTCTCCTCATGTCTTGGTGGCTAATCACTCTTAAGCCAGTCCAGGCCATGTTGGAACCAACTAGTAAGGATAAGAAGAGCGAAGCCTACAGCCATATTTCCTTTCCCAAGGCTGGGAACCACGAGGGCACCAGCTTTTGATTCCCTAATTATGTGTGTGACTGCACTGTGTCCTAATTATAAACGAGGAGCCGACTTTGGAAAGGATTTTTAGCTTGGTCAAAAAGTGACCGGCCAGATGTGTGGCGGTTCCATGTTCTGCAACTGAAATGGCCACACTTTGAGCTGGGGGCAGCTCAGCACCGGCAGGGAAGTCCCTCCCTCCTGAGGGAGTCTCACTGCCCCGCTGGCAAAGCCTGTCCCCAGTGACTCCCCTGTCTGTCTTCATCGCTGTCTTGGAGGCTAGGGGACCATGGAGACATGTTGAGTAGCAGACAGAATATCGGGAGTGACAATGTCATTCAAGTTTGCTGAGTCTTCCAGCTCTGGTGTCTGTGGGTGGGCGAACCATAGCCCACCTGTAGAGAACACGCCCTGTTGATCGGGAGGGTGGACTAGAGGCCTTTGCAAACTGTCAGTTCCCAGGCCCTGTACAGATGTCTGTTAGGTCAGTGCTTGCTTAACAATGCTGTCAGAATGAGTCGCTCTCACCCCTAAGCCCAGAATCTGTCAGGTGTTTTGATGTATGCCAGGGACTTTGAAACAATCATGTTAATGTGGTATTATTTAACTGAACAGTCTACTTTCTCCAGTAGCCCAATGGAAGTGTTACTGCTGGCTTATGATGATAGCATACTAAGAACTGATAACAACTTCTGTCTTATTTTGCAGCTACTCATTTTTTTTCAATATGATTGATGTTCTCATTTTCATGCATGTTTGTGACCCCTTAACTAGCACAATGAACACCATCACTAACAACTTTTGGTTCTTGCTCTTAGAAACAACCCTTGGCTTCTTAATTTTATCTGTGAAGTCAGAAATCAATATGAATTGCTTCTGGAAGCTTTGCAAGAATCTGATAGTTTAGCAGTTACTAGATATAGACCTTAATATGAGCTCACTGCTGTTCAGAATTTTTCTTTGGTAGAGAAGTGGGTGGATGATAAAAACAGCATGTTCTCTTTTCTTACAATAATATTCACCCTTCTTTGTCTAATGGTAGCTTTGGTCATATTCAAAGTTGCT